CTGAAGTCCATACTTTATTCAGATTTCCCAACTTTCCCCCTCATATCCTTTTTCTGTTCCAGGACACCCCATTACATTTATTCATTATGTCTCCTTAGGCTTCTCTTGGCTGTACCACTTTCTCAGACTGTTACTTTTGATAACTTTGACAGTTTTAATGACTACTTGTCAGGTATTTTGCAGCAGTCCCTGGCCTTTTTGGCACTAGGGACGGGTTTCATGGAAGACAATTTTTCCAAAGACCTGGGGGCAGGGGATGCAGGAGAGGATGGTTTCTGGATGATTCAGATGCATTACATTTACTGTGCAAACCTCTCCACTAATGATAATCTGTATTTGCAGCCGCTCCCCAGTGTTGGCATCAGCGCCTCAGATCATCAGGCATTAGATTCTCTTAAGGAGCGCACGACCTAGATCCCCCACCTGTGCAGTTCACAGTAGGGTTCGCGCTCCTATGGGAATCTAATGCCCCGGCTGATGTGACGGCAGGTGGAGCCCAGGCGGTGATGGAGCGACGGGGAGCAGATGTGCAGAGGAAGCTTCACTCACTCGCCCACCGCTCACCTCCTGCTGCGTGGCCCGGCTCCCACCAGGCCATGGACCGGTACCAGTCCTCAGCCCGGGGTTGGGAACGGCAGTTTTACAGGACATCCCTTCAACTGAGATTTGTCTAATGTCTGTCTTCTCTTAGATGAGGGTTGTGTTTTGGGGAGGCAAACCAGAGGTAAATTACTACCATTCTAGTCACATCGCATTAAAGGTACACACTGTGGACGCGATTGTTGACATTGACCTTGATCACATGGATGACATGTTTATCAGGTCTCTCCTGAAATTACTTTCTCCCCCTCCCCATACTGTGCTCTTTGGAGTCGCTACTCACACCTAAGGAGTAAGGGGTTATGTGCTCCTTTCTTGAAGGCTGTCTACAGAAATTATTTATAATTTTGTCTAGGACATTTATTATTCCCAATTGTCACTTGACTCATTTATTTCATACTTGAGTAAATGCTAGTTTTTAAGAGATGGGGTATTGATATGTCGCCCAGGTTGGTCTCAAACTCCTGGCCTCAAATAATCATCCTGCCTCAGCCTCCTAAAGTGCTAGGATTACAGGCATGAGACCCACACCCAGGCTATGCTTTTTCATTGTGCAAATTATTTCCAGCTTTGGCCACTGGGAGCTTTTTCCATTGGCTCCTATGTCCCTTGGACATAACACCATCCATGGAAGGTTCTGGGTGTTTTTTAAAAGCAAGTCCTTACTTTTAGGCACTACAAGATGCTCCAGGTTCATGTGTATATTTCCTGCCCTAGCCCTAGAATAATCTTAGTACAATACTATTTCTGAAAGTTTGATAGTTTTCTGCAAGCCTGCGTTATTCCAATTTTATCTATATTTATTATATATATTTACATATTTATTTACATATGTAGTTATTTATTTAGAGACAGAGTCTCACTCTTATTGCCCAGGCTAGAGTGCCATGGTGTCAGCCTAGCTCACAGCAACCTCAAATTCCTGGGCTCAAGCTATCCTCCCTTCTCAGCCTCCCAAGTAGCTGGGACTACATGTGCTCTCCATTACACCTGGCTAATTTTTTTTATTTTCAGTAGAGATAGGCTCTCACTCTTGCTGGTCTTGAACTCCTAAGCTCAAATGATCCTCCTGCCTCAGCCTCCCAGAATGCTAGGATTACAGGCACGACCACCACGCTGGGCCTCAAAATTTAAAACATGGGAATCACCACTCTTTTCTGGAAAGCTACCTGACATGTATAAAAATCCTGGGATGTAGGCCACAAATATAAAAGCACAAGACAGTCTCGAGGGTCATTAAGGTTTATTACAGCATGTTGGATGCAGCAAAACAATGAAACCAAGGAAATTCCTGTCAACAGGGAGCAGCTGATGGCTGAGGGGCATCCACCCTGAGGAACCCCGGGAAGCAACTGGAAAGCACGTGCTGCCCAAATGCAGAGCAGCCGAAAGAGAGCCTTGACCAGCCACCCAACACGTCCTACTAACACACGTGTGTTGGCAGCGCATGGGAGTAGCGTGGCAGGACAGACCCCAGGGCTGGCATTACCTAGGAGGAAACGGTCATGCAGGGGAAAAGAAGAGCAGGGAACAACCTGTTTACGACACTGTGTCCATTTGCACAGAGAGGTAACGCGGGTACCAAAATGAGCACCCTGGAATCTGGAGTGATTCTGACTTAACTTTCTTGTACTCTTTCTGTTTTGTGTTTCTTTTAAATGGCACAGTATGTACATATCATTCTTCACGCAAACTTGTGACATTTTTAAAATGCACATTGTAGAAGTGATTATCCACTCAAAATTTAATTGGTAAAATTTTATTAAAACTCCCTCTTTGGGAAAACTTCGACAGAAGCAAGCACCAACACATCTAAGGACACACGAGGGCTGTCCGGAGAGCGTCCAGCCACGTAACACGAAAATGCATCGGCACTGGCCAGACACTTTCCAGACAGCCCTCGTGTGTTCAATGAAGAGGGGCAGCCGACGGAATCGTGGGCCCCCACCCCCGTGGAATGCTGGACGGCCCCTGAGAGAATGAGGTAGCAGGAATGTCCCCACCCTGGGGGATCCGGGTTGCTGCCATGTGAGAAGGACCTTCTCGTTGGGCACATCAAGAAGGCTGGGACTAGAGGGAAAAGTAAAGGCTTCTCTGTTTATTTTATGACCACTGGGGCAGACTTTTGTACTTAAATTAATAATAAAGTCCATGTGAACTTAGAAAGAAACAAACAACAAAAACACCAGGAGTCTTAGCCATAGCTAACTCTGATTTTTCTAAGTTAGATCTGACTCACTTAAAATCTCAAAGACTCAATTGTTGTGAAGCCCTAATATCTTCTGGCAAAATCTAAAATGAACTTCACCTGTGCCAGGCCCTCTGCGCAGCAGGGCGCAGCTCCGACGCCTGGGTCTGGGCACGGGAGGGCTCCCGCTCAGCCACCGCCCGGCCGGCAGGGCCCAGCGCACAGCCAGGGAAAAGGGGGAACTGTTGTCAGAGGGTCAGTTCCCAGAGCCGAGAGCGGGCCCAGGTGCTCCCAGCTGACACCACCAACACAGCGACTTTGTCCTGGAATCGAGGAGCCTTCCCAGTTACAGCGCAAACAGAGAGAAGGGCAACGCCCCTCCAGGGCGTGGTGTCCACGCGACATGAGCCCCTCCTCACACTCAGCTCCAGGACTCAGCAACACCACACGCACCCTCCTTGTTCTGAGCCACTCAGACCTCCCACCCCTGTCCTTTCACCCCGCCTCTTTTAGCCTAGGTAGCATCTGAAGGCCCAGAAAGGTCTTTGCCCGCCATACCCGACCCCAGGCGCCGGGAGCCTCCCCAGCCCCACAGCTGCCCCCACCTCGCGCCCAGCTCCACCCTCCTGCCCCTGCAGCCTGGGCTCCTGCACACGCACACGCCCACCCCCAGCGGCCCAAGTCCTGAGCTCATTCCCACCTCCGTGCTCCTGCTCAGCCCCCACCGTGTCCCCACCTCCTGGCTGGCCGGGGACCTGTGAAGGGAAGCACAGCAGCAGGGAGGAGCTGATGCCCAGGGTGGCGGGCCGGCACGAGTGCAGGCTGGGCCCTGGTCTGAAACGAGTGTCTTTATTGCTTGTACCGTACAAATACGAAGGACAAGGAAAGGCCAGTGGGGACGGGGGAGAGTTGTCAGGTAAACAACATACACACACAAAGGAAAAAAGACCCCCCCCACCCGCCCACACCAAGCCCCACCCCACCCCATGATGCCTTTCTGTGAACTGCCTAGTTCAGGAGGTGGGGTGGGGAGATCAACACCACAGAAACTAAATTCCAGACACCCAGAGATGCTGGGGGAGGGGGAGGGCAGCGAGGGGCTCCCAGGTGGGGCCCCTCCCACCAGGCCCGCACCCCTCCCCCCATGGGATGAAGTGCTCTGGCAAGGGTGGGGCCCAAGCCCACACACACCATGCACACTTGGAGGACACGCTGCCCTCACGCACACACACCCAACTCACACACACACCACGTGCCTCTGTGTCCCACTGACACACAGTCCGAGGCATGTACACGTATGTATCCACTGCACGGACACGGACTCTCGCTCATGTTCACCTTAAGGCTGCAGAATGTGGGGCCCTGGAGGGAGGAGGGGGTGAGCTGGCCTAGGAGCCTCCCTTCTCGGAGGCCCACTCAACACGTACCGGAGACGCCCACCCCCACCCCAGTCCGTGGGCCCAATACTGTCTCGGTGAGAGATGTGTAACAGCCAGGGCTGGTGCCCCTCCGCCCCCAGGCAGAGGAGGGGACGACCCCAGCCCGCATGCTCCGGTGGGGCTGGGCCAGGCCCAGGTCCAGCGGGAGGTGAGGCCAGCTGGAAGCCCTGGTAAGGCACGGGCTGAAGGGTGGGCAGGCCAGCCTCCCTCCTGCCTCATCCATGGGGTCAGGAGAGCAGCTTGGGGCAGTGCCCACCCCCCGGGTCCCTCCTGGGTCCCCACGATGCAGATCCAAGGACCTGGCTCCATTCACAAGGGAGCCCTGCCCCCTGATCCCATGGCTTCCAAGGCCCCTGCCCGTCCCTGGACATTATTGCTTTTCTGCCCCCACAGGGGGCCGGGGGGTTGCACCGCTCCGAGCCGAGGCGACAGGGCACGGAAGGCAGCACCACTGTCCGCTGGGCGTCGAAAGGCGTCGGGCGGCTCCGTGCAGAAGCAGCGGCGTGTGGGCAGGCCGCCCGCGTGGTGCTCCGGCCAGAGTGCAGGCGGCCCGGGGCTCCACACTGCATGCTCTGCCCCTCGCTGGGGCTTGTGTTGATTAAAAACCTGAATCTCTCCGTCCACCCGACAGCCCGGTCCTGGGGCAGGAGGTGGGGAGTCTCCCCACACTAGTCTGGGCACAAAGGTGAGGCTGGAGGCAAGGGCTGCTGGGAGAGGACTGAAGAGAGACTGGAAATGGGGGTGAGGAGGCGAGGGATGGGGACACAAACCAATAAGGCAAAATGAAAAGTTAAAAAAAAGCCACCCGGTGGCGGATGGCAGCCATGCGTGCGTCCTGTGGCGGCGGCAGGGCTGCTCACTCGCGGATGCTGGCCGAGTAGGAGAACTGGGGGAAGTGGGTCCGCTGGTCCAGCTCCAGTGAGCCCAGGCTGTCATCTGCGGGTTGGTGGAGGCAGATTGGGGAGGACCGGCCTGCAGAGGACCAGGCACCCTGCCCAGACTCCCTGGGGAACCGGCCACGGGAGGAACTGCAGTGGGACCACAGGACGAACCCCCAGCCAAGGGGGCTGCCCACGAGGTCGGGGCAGGGAAGGCAGCTTCCCTCCTGACTGGCCTCTCAGCCAAGCCCCACTCCTTGGGCCGGAGCCCTGGGCAGCCCTGTCTGTGAAGCTACCTGCGTTCTGCCCCCTGGCCCATAGCTCGGTCACTTGGCCTTCTGAGCATCCCACCTTCACCCCCTCGCTCCCTTGCCCACGCCACCGCCATGGCCTAGCCATGACTCTTCCAGCCCAGTCCCTGCCCTGGCCTCTACCCTCACCCCCTCCAATCCACCTTCCACATGCAGCCAGGGGGACTTTCTAGAGCCGATGCAACCCTGTCTCTCTCTGCACAAAACGCTTCTATGGGTCCCCATGCAAAAAGTCCCCACTCCTCCCAGGGGCCCCCAAAACCCTCCCACTCTGGCTCCATCATGCTCTTTCCTCTTCCCGCCCCCATCTCCCCTGACTGCTGCCTGTTCCTTGACCGTGCAATGCTCTCGCCCATTTCTGGTACCCCACATGCCATTCCTTCTGCCAGGAATGCATCTCAGTGGACATGTCCGTTTCCTCCTCCAGGAAGCCCTCCCTACCTGCAGGCCAGGTCAGGCATTTCCTCTGGGCTTCCCTAGTCCCGGGCTCCTACATCCTAGCCCTGACTGCTCCGGGCTGTCAGTCATCCCACCTGGACTGGGAGCTCCCCAAGGGCGGGGCCCAGGACTGGCATCATCACTGCTATGTCTCCAGCACAGCCCAGCCCTTGGCTAGGTTCAGAGCAAGAACTCAAACGACTGTAAAGTCAATGAACCAACCCAGCCCTGGGATCCAGGCCATCTGGTGCCCAGAGTCCCCCCGAGCTCTGGAGTATACTGTAGCCAATGGCTCCTGGCGAGCCTCACCGGGTCCAAGGACCCACAGCAAAAGGCCCTGCAAGGAGATCTTAGGACAAACTGCCCAGACACGGAGAGGGGTGGCCTTCAAGGTTCCTCCTAGAGAACTGGGTCAAGTGCAGACCCCAGCCCTTTACCACCCGCCACACGCACCAGGCAAGGGGGCCCTGGATACTCACAGCGGTCCGGGGGTGTGATTGTGATAGACTGGGCAGTGAATTCATCATCAAAGTACCTTGTGTCGACCTCGGATGTGACCTGAGGTTTGAAGGGTGGCAGGAGCTACGGAGGAGAGGAGCCCAGACTCAGGGACTCTAGGGACAGGAGGCCTCGACCAAGGTCACCCATGAGCAGGCCCTTGGAGGCCCCTGTCGGGGGCAGGCAGTGGGGCAGGGGGCTCACCTTCTTCTGTACCACGTCCTGCCAGTTGATGCTGAGGAAGAACCTGTGCTCCATGACCTCCTTGGCATCGCTGGGCCCCCCGCCAAGCCTGGGCAGAGACGGCTGTCAGCACCCACCTCCCAGAGCAGCCAGGTTCTGGGGGCAGGCTTTGGGCGCAGGCAGGCCTAGCCTGCGACGTGTGGGCCCTGAGAGGCCTGTAACGGATTCTGTCTTGGTCGCAAACCACTGCTTCACAGAGAAGGACACCCTGAGCCTCGCGCCTGCGTCAGGGCCGGGGAGACTGCAACCTCCTGGGGGCTCACAGCCTGCCCGCACCCCAAGACCAGAAAGGGAGTTGGGAGGGCAGGCTGGGCGGCAGGCCTGTTCACATCCCGGCTCTGCCACGTACAGTCGGTGATCCCAGGCCAGGCACAGGGCTGCCCTGGGCCTCAGTGTCCCCATGAAACAAGGTGGTGCAGGGAGAGTGCTGAGGACAGGCCTGGCTCCCGAGGACTGCTGAGTGCCGGCCGTGGGCATTTTCAGGGGCTGCGTGGGGGACACACACACCGTGACGGGAACCCACGAGTGAGTGCACCAGAGGATGCTGACCCCTCCAGGCTGCGGTGCTGGGCAGGGCAGGGCAGACACCAGCCCTCACCTCTGCTTAGGGTCCTTCTTAAGCAGCCCGGCAAGCAGGGACTTGGCCTCAGGGCTGAGCGTGCGGGGGAAGCGGATCTCCTCCATGAGGATGAGCTCGAAGAGGCGCTCGTGGTCCTGGTTATAGAAGGGCAGGCGGCCGCACATCATCTCGTACATGACCACGCCCAGCCCCCACCAGTCCACGGCCCGGCCGTAGTCGTTGTCCTCCAGCACCTGCGGAAGGAGGGCAGTGAGGGGCCAGGCGGAATCACAGTCCTGCCCTCGGAGGGTCCCCTCCACCGTGGCCTCACATGCTCCTGCACCCCCAGCCCCAGCACCTCAGGCGCCAGGTACTCCGGGGTCCCACAGAAGGTTTTCATGGTGGCCCCGTCACTGATGCCCTCTTTGCACAGGCCAAAGTCAGTGATCTTGATGTGGCCATCTTTGTCCAGCATGAGGTTTTCCAGCTGTTGGAAAAGACAACACATCAGGGGCACGCCTCCCTCAAGAAGGTTGTGGCCCAGGGTGGCAGCCGCAGGCCAGGGGATCCAGGACACCAATTTCCCCATGCCAGACTGGGCACGGCGCTCACGGGGCAGCGCTAAGGCCTCACCCTCTGAGGTCTGCAGGGAGCCAAACCCAACAGCTCCCGGCCCAGCCACGCCCTAGGCCAGCCGGAAAACGACCAGGCAGGGAGAGACGGGGCCAGGCCCGCCCACCTGCCACCCTCACTGTGGGCTGTAGTTTCTTGTATTCAGGTGTGAGGGGCACTAGCTTTCTTCTCTGTTTTTCCTAAGCTTTTTGTCTTTTAATTGTGAAACATACACCAGGAAAGAGCATAAGAATATAAAACATAAATGAGCAATTCAGGGGGGCCTTTGTGAAACCTCCACCAGGTCGAGACACAACATCAGTAACCACAGAAGCCCTATGTGCCCCGCCCAGCTACTGCCTGCTCCCCGCGGAGAAGTCACTACTCCTCCCGCGTTTTTCTTTACGGACTGCACCACCCACATGTACGCACAGCCGGGTTCCTCGTCTGTTCTGGCTTTGCCCTCCATACTACCTATGTGTGTAGCTGCAGTTTGTCCTCTAGCTGCTGCACGGGAGCCCCCGTGTGAACACACCCACTCCCTGGGCTGCTTCCAGTTTGGGCCAGCGTGAACGTGCTCCTCTGAGCCTGTGCATACGCTCTGTGAGGGGCACACATGTCCCCGTTTCTGTTGTGCACTCAGCTTTGGTGGACATCGTCAAATTACCTTCCAAATTAGAGCTTGTGCCAATTTACACGCTCCCCCCCCCCCAGCAGCTTGGGCGTGCTCATGGGAGGCGCAGAGGCCCTGAGAGCAGGCGGGGAGCTCGGCACATGAGGGCAGAGGCCCGATCCCGACCTCCCTGGTGCGGGTCCCGTGTGTGTGTCATGGGCCAGCCTGGAACCTCTGTGTTTGCTGTCCCCCTCGCCCCAGCCACACGCCAACCTTGATGTCGCGGTACACCACATCCCGTGAGTGCAAGTACTCCAGCGCTGAGACGATCTCCGCGCCGTAAAACCGGGCCCGCTCCTCCGTGAAGACACGCTCCCGGGACAGGTGGAAGAACAGCTGCGAGAAAGGGGTGGGGAGAGGAGTCAGACCCCCAGCCCGAAGGAGAGAAGGCAGTGACACTTACTCCACGAACCGGCAAGTGCCAGCAGGAGGGACCAAGTGAGGGACGCTGAGTAGAGAAGGGCAAGGACCCGCCAGTCGGTGCCAGTAACAGCATGATGGAGGGACAGCCTCGGACAGGCCAGACAGGGAGCAAAGAGGAACACGAGTCCTGAGCAAGTGACAGGAAGCCTCAGGTGAGCCCAAATCGGACAGATGAAGCAAACAACTGATCTCGATCCAGGCAGCTGCATCTGCCTGCGCGCACAAGGGCGCCAGAGACGAGCGGGTGACAGAGTGTGAACTCAGCGCAGGGAGTGGCTGAGATCAGTTATCTGCTTCAGGGAGAAACAGGGAAAGAGGGCTGGTGGATTTCAACACTCAGATGCTTTCTCTGGAGCCTCTGAGAACGTCCTTCAAAGCACCGTCAGCCAAGCACGTCCACAGCACTCTCCACACCTCCCTGCCCCATCTCACTAGCCGTGTCGCCTGCGCAAGCCCTTAGCCTCGCAGAGCCTCACTTACCCCGCTGCAAAATGGAGATGATGTCCCTGTCTCACGGAGGTGGCAGGTGGAGGGCAAGGTGACAGTAAGCCTCCCACCACCCCCACAGCTCCTCTCTGCCTTGCCCCCCACTCTGAAGGACACACCTAGAAAGCACGGCCGGATGCCCTGCGGCTCACCTCGCCACCGTTGGCGTACTCCATCACGAAGCACAGGCGGTCGTGGGTCTGGAAGGCATACTTCAGAGCCTGCGGGAGGAAGGCGGCCAGGGTAGGGGTGGGAGGGAGGGGGGCTCTGCGAGTCTCCGAGGCAGAGGTGCTGCTAATTCTGCATTTCCCTCCCAGCCCGGCCTGGGCCCGAGGGAGTCGGGCAGACGGAGAGCAGGTGAGCAGATTCCTGGCTCTGAGGGCAGAAAAGGGGACACTGTGCCGAACCATCTTGTCCTCTACCTTCACCAGGCACAGCCAGGGGAGAAAGTATGTTCTGGGCAACCAGAGCTGTTTCACTTCCCCCCACCTCATTTTAATAGTAAAATGTGTTAAACTCGCACACGCATACAAGTGATGTATGCTGTGGCTGGAGAGGAAATGGCTTGGGAGCCAACTCCAAACACAGGATGGGTGAGCCACAGCCAATGAACGGTTATGAAACTGCATATCATGGAGCCCTACAGAGAGCTCCGCAGAGACCCCTTGGGTGACCCCTCTGCTCACAACTCTACTATTCTGTCTTCCGCATTGAGATACCTCGTATGATTTGATCTGAACAAGTGCTGTTACTTAATAGGACACCTGGACAGCAACTGAGCTACACAAATGACACATCTGCCAGCCTAAAGCTACTCCATTTAACTGCTGACCACTGGCCCTGATGGAGACCGTAGCCCAGAGAGGTACCTACTCAGTCTGAGTTGATCAGCAACGCAATGGTAACACCTCTGCTTTTATAACTTAAAACAGAACAGGCCAGGCGTGGTGGTTCATGCCTATAATCCCTGCATTCTGGGAGGCCGAGGCGGGCCGATCGCTCAAGGTCAGGAGTTCAAAACCTGCCTGAGCAAGACTGAGACCCTGTCTCTACTAAAAATAGAATAATTAATTGGCTAACTAAAAATACGTAGAAAAAATTAGCCAGGCATGGTGGCGCATGCCTGTAGTCCCAGCTACTCAGGAGGGTGAGGGAGAAGGACTGCTTGAGCCAAGGAGTTTGAGGTTGCTGTGACCTAGGCTGACACCATGGCGCTCTAGCCCGGGCAAGAGAGTGAGACTCTGTCTCAAAAAAAAAAAAAAGCAGAACAAATAATGTTCCCATTTGGACCACCTGGGCTAAGTGCTCCTAAATCACACAGAGAGCAGCCACACTCCCCTAGGGCCACCTGATAATGTGTATCTTCACTCTGCTTACACGAATCCACCATCTATGAAGAAGGTGCCAGCCCCCAGCCGAAGTGCCTTGGTTCAGCAGAGGTGGGGGCGCAGCAACACCGCGCCCTGCCCACCTGGCCCACGCCAAGCCTGTGCTTTGTGGTAGCAGGTTCAGGCTCTTTCCCTGAGCTCTGTCCAAGGCGCTGGCCTAAAGGGCCCAGACTGCCTGAGCAGGGGAGTGTGACTCACAGTGAGGAACGGGTGCCTGGTGTTCTGGAGGACTCGGCTCTCGGTGACCGTGTGGGCGACTTCATCCTGCAGACAGAGCACGGTGAGGGGCTGGTGGGCAGCACTAGGCCTGCCCACTCCAGCCGACCCGAGGGATGGGGAGTGAGGTCTTGGTGAAACGTGATCCCATTCAGTGGCGCTCTCGAAACGGTAAGGCACAAAGGCAATGGGACCTCACAATGTGGGGGTCAGGCTGCTACCACCTGAACCCACATGGCTAACTTGGGGACGAGCACACATTATGAGACCCCTGAGGTGCTGCCACAGGACATGGGAAACACCACCTTGTCAAATGTCCTTGCCCAAAGAAGGAACTGGACTAAGCCAGGCTCTAGGCCGACGGCAGCGGTTCTGGGGTGCGGCCCCACACTGCAGCATCAGCACCGCCTTCGAACTTGCAGAAATGCAAATTCTTGGGCCCCACCCGAGAGCCACTGAGTCAGAAACTCAGGGAGGGCCCAGCACTGTCTCACTAGCCCTCCGGATGACACTAACACAGGTTCAGGTTTGATATCCGACTGAACGGCAGAACCACCAGGAGAGCAGCCAAAAACCCTGCCGCAGCGCAGCGTGGACGCTGGCCCCTGGGGATAAACTTGCCCCAGGGGACATTTGAGAATCTATAATGTTACTTTTGATCGTCACAACTGGGGGGTTGCTACTGGCTTTCGCGGGCAGAAGCCAAGGATGCTGCTAAACATCTTACAGCGCACAGGACAGTCCCCACAACAAAGATTGACCTGGCACAAGATGTCGATACTACGGAGCTGAGAAACCCTGCCTTGGATCAGTAACATCAGGAATTAACAGTTAATTTTGTTGGGTTTGATCACAGCACCATCTGATTATATTCTTTAAAATCTTCATCTGTTTTTAAGATGCATATTTAAGGCCAGGCACAGTGGTTCGCTCCTAAAGCACTGTAGGAGGCTGAGGCAAGAAGATCCCTTGAGCTCAAGAATTCAAGACCAAGGCCTGTAATCCTAACCCTCTGGGAGGCCAAGGCAGCGGATTGCTCGAGGTCAGGAGTTCGAAACCAGCCAGAGAAAGAGCAAGACCCCATCTCTTTCTAGACCCCATCTCTCTTCTTTCTATAAATAGAAAGAAGTTAATTGGCCAACTAATATATATAGCACTCACTCTAGCCTGGGCAACAAAGCAAGACTCTGTCTCAAAAAAAAAAAAAAAAGAGTTCAAGACCAGCCTGAACAAGAGTGAGACTCTGCCTCTACAAAAAAGAAAAAATTAACCAGGCATGGCGGCACATGCCTGTAGCCCAGGTACTCAGGAGGCTGAGGCAGAAGGATCACTTAAACCCAGGTTTTTGAGGTTGCTGTGAGCTATGATGACACCACGGCACTCTAGCCTGGGTGACAGAGTGAGAGACACAGTCTCTTAATAAAATAAAACAACTCCAGAACAAAAAAGGGAGAGGAGAGCAGATCTAATGAAGATTGGCTACATGCTGGTAACTGCTGAAACTAGATGACGGCTTCATGGGAGCCCATTACATTTATTTTTCTTTTCAAAATTTGGTATGTTTGGAAGCCTCCATTATAAAAACTTTAAATAAGGGCAAAACATAAAATTCCATTCTTGGCCCAGCCTTCCCACAGGGACCTCTCCCCTTTCAGGCCTTGACAGTGCCTGAGGGGGTGGGGGAGGCCCCGAGGCAGACTCTGTCCTTGGGTATCTCCAGACCCCCCAGAGGGTGGGGTGGGGGGCTCAGCAGGCAGCCCGCTCCTCTCTGGGCCTAAGGCTCCCCTTCTGCCCAGGGAATTACAGGACTGAGTGCAAGGGAATGGGATTTGTGGCAGGGAGTGAGACTACAGCAGAAGGCTGGGTCAGTGTCCCAGCCCTCCAGAGCCGCTAACCACAGTCCGGCTCCAGACCACGGCCCCCCAAGACGCCGGCGAGCAGCAGTCCTCGGAGCGCCCACCTTGGCAATGATGACCTCCTTCCGCAGGATCTTCATGGCGTAGTAGCGGCCAGTGGCTTTCTCTCGCACCAGGATGACTTTGCCAAAGGTTCCCTTGCCAAGGAGTTTGAGATAGTCGAAGTCATTCATGGTCTGTGGGGCACGGGAACAGGGGGGCTGTCAGCGCCTGGCACGTGGCCCATGGGAGGAAATTTTAACAAAGAAAGAGGAAAACCAAAAGACACTGTTGCCAAATGGCCTCAGCTAGAGCAGGAAGGGAGGCTCTGGGCAGCGGCTGTTTGTTCTGAAGCGGCCTTCAGGCCAAGGCTCTCCCACCCCGCGGCTCTCCCAGGCACAGGGCCTTGGGTGGGCTGAACCCAGGGCCCTGACATGGGGGTCACAGGTCTTTGAGACTTCCCAGGGTGAAGCTGCAGCAGGACCCCCAGGGCTGCCCCTCACCCCATGGGCACAGAGCAGCCCCTGGGGCATCAACACCCTGAAATCTCCCCAGCACGCAGGGCAGACATCTCTCAGCTGGATTCCTGTGCACTTTATATGGAAACCAAGGGGGGCAGGGCCAGCGTTGGGGTGGCGGGGGAGGGGGTGAGACTATCGGACTAACAGCCGCCATCCCTTTCCCCAGCACCTACCACTTTGGCCCGGGCCTTGCTGACTGCCACTTCCATCTCCTCTGCCGTTGAAGAGTCACTAGGGGAGCCACACTTGTAGTCCATGGGGTCCTCACCCGGGCCCCGCTGCTTGAGGCTGTTGGCGACCATCTGGATGGCCCGCATCCACTCCTCCCTGTGTGGGGGCACACATGAGCCATGAGTCCTGAGGAGCCATGAGTCCTGGGGAGCCATGAGTCCTGGGGAGCCATGAGTCCTGGGGAGCCACGGGTCCTGGGCCTCAGGGCTAGAAAGGCTGAGTGCCTCCTCCCAGCCCAGCCACAGCCCCGCCCCCTCCAATGCCTGAGCAAACTACCAAATACCTTCGGGCATTTTGACCTTCAGGCATTTTGGCGAGTCCTGTCTGAGACAGGGAAAGCTGACAGGACCTGAAAGAAATTTCACAGGCCTCTGGTTGTGATGGGTAGGAGAGGGCAAGAGTGGAATGCAAAGAGAGAGCATTGATTTCTTAGCAGTGGACTGGCCTGAGGGCCACTTGAAACCGGGCAGCAGTGAAATGATCAATGTGGGGAGACCACTTTCTTCTTGAAAACAAGCCACCACCCTGAGCCTCCAGTGAAGGAGGCCCCTCTGAATTTCCTCCAAAACAAATGAAAAGCTCAAGTTCACAAGTCATCAATGTCTTGTAAAGCAAAACCAAGAGTAAAAGTAAGCATTCAATAGCCAAAGCAGCTGAAGATCTTACAAGGCAAGAGCTAAATGACATGACTCCCTAGAGGGGACAGTCTCCTGGGAGGGCATGGCAGGGCCAGAGGTCCTGGCAGCCCACGGACGTGGAAGAGAGAAGGTGGTGAGCAGGAAGCAGATCTCAGCAAAAGGGAGCCCAGTTTAAGGATAAACTAGTTCTGCTGCTCATGATTTAAAACTTGCTGGGAAAGAATCTTCTTTTGATACTTGCAAACTGTTCTAGTAAGTGAAAATGATCAGAGACCAGAAAGAAAAATATTAGGCTGAATGACACTAAATTATCCATATCTCCCCATTTTTGACCCACCATACAGCAATCAGGTAGTTCAACCCAATATACTGTGAACCAGTATATTGCTTTAACCACCTATGTATCTGGCTTATGCCTAGAAAACAGCCAAGTGACCAGTGGGAAAAAGAAAATGTTCAGTAAGAATGAGAAAATCCAAAGAGTGTGAGCAGCAACCCCCCAAATCCCAGTGATTTAAATAAGCCACAGTAAGTGCAGCCAGCTTAGACGGGAGCTAAAAACAGGCACTCACTATTATTAACCACCCCCTTCTCCAGCATTACAAAGGAGGAAACTGAGGCACAGATTAAGAAACCTGGCCTGGCTCGGTGGCTCACGCCTGTAATCCTAGCACTCTGGGAGGCCAAGGCGGGTGGATTGCTCAAGGTCAGGAGTTCGAAACCAGCCTGCGCAAGAGCGAGACTCCATCTCTATTATAAATAGAAAGAAATCAATTGGTCAACTAATATATATACAAAAAAAATTAGCCGGGCATGGTGGCGCATGCCTATAGTCCCAGCTATTCGGGAGGCTGAGGCAGAAGGATTGCTTGAGCCCAGGAGTTTGAGGTTGCTGTGAGCTAGGCTGACTCCACGGCACTCACTCTAGCCTGGGCAACAAAGCGAGACTCTGTCTCAAAAAAAAGAAACCTAACTCAAGAAAAACACAGCAGTTGCTCCAAGCCTGGTAGCTGGAATTATAAAAAGCCTGTGGTGTTCCCCAGGGCCAATGGTCAGGGCAGCTCTTGCTTAGCTCGGTGGCTGGCTGAACCAAGCAGCAACGAAGCTCAGAGATCACAGTAAACACAGGGGAGGCTCTGGCTTCTCTAACTGGCCTCACTCACAGGAGGAGATCATGCTTTGTAAGACAGATGCTTAACATCAAGTGCTGGGACGCTGCTCCTTCCTGTCCAATGTCTGGGGTCTGTCCCATGAAAGCTTTGAATATGGTGTGCCCCAGTACTCCTGGTGGGTACTCGGCAGGTTTTTGGGTAATGACAAGTAAGGCAGCCCAAGTCCGAGTGGCCTCAGGGCCAGTGTACGGCGAGGCCGGGTGCACGCCCAGGCAGAGCGGTACTGGCTTCTTCCCCTCGTGACCCAACATCTCAGGCCAGCATTTCTCAACTTGCTTTAACCCATAACCCCTTTGGAACAAGTTATAGCCTAAATCCCAATCCCTACGTTAATATTCCTGTTTTCAAAAAAAACCCCAAGAAATGGAGTAGGAACACATCCCATGACATGCTTTATCAGACATAGTTGTCCTCTTAGGAATTTTAAAATGTTCAATCTGAGCATAAGATGGTAGATTGGGGGGGGGAGGGAATCACAGATACAGTGATTAAAATCCATATACATCTCTCATATATAAAGACCTCGAGAGACCGTCATATGTAGAAAGCAGGTTGCAGACTAAGATGTATGGGGTGGTATCATCTTTGTTTACAAAGAAAGTGGAGAGGACACAGTAGCCGGAACACACAAGCTATGGCGCATCCACACTGCGTGCGCCAAGAGCAGCCTTGAGGCACTGCCCCACATGCGGATCGGGTCTCGGGCTCTGGACTCCGCTGCCTCCTCGCCCTCCGGGCCTACTCCCCTTCTTGGTGGACCAGGGCTGCTGAGACGCCGGCGAGCGGCTCCATGCAGAACATGCACACAGGTGACACGGAGAGACTCAACTCATGGAAGGCGCTAAAGACAGGAGGGGGAGGGGCCTGGGCCTACCCTGGCTCAAGCCGCCACCCTGCAGGGAGCTGTGGGAACCCAGGCAATGCAGGAGGTTGACCAGGGGAAACTGGGGCTCCACAGCCGCCTGAAAAGCCTCCAGTTCTGTTCCAACTAGACTGAAGTTGTGAGGTTGCAGCACTGAGAATTCCAGAGAAAAAGCAAGGGCCTCTGTCCAGGGTGCCCAGGGTACTCCTCAGGGGTTCACAGCATGGAGTCTGGAGCAAAGGGGAGCTGGGGCTCAAGTACCTTCCACCCTCCAAGAGGAGAGCCCAGGGGGAAACCAGCCTCCTTCCCTGCTGAGAGAAATGACTAGAAAAATAACAGCACTGAACAGCCGGCTCCACAGACACCAACTCGTGTAATTCTCAAGAGCGGTGGACGGGGAGGCAGCATTTCCGGGGGAGTCACCTATGGCGGTCACACAGCAGGGACAGGGAGGAACTGGGACTCCCGCCCACGCACAGCCCACTCCTCCTTGGCACCACGCCGCCTTTCCCTGTCTCAGACTCAAGAGAGGCTGCTGAAGGCCACAGCCGGGATTCCCAGACAAGACCCAGGAGGATCAAGGAGTGACACTCTCAGGAAGCTTCATGGACTAATGAACACCACGTCAGCGAGCCCAGGAGCAAAGTAAGGAACGCCTCTCCTCAGGAGCTGTGACCTGGGCCACCTATCGGATAGGGACCTGCCACTAAACAGCAGTAACACTAACGCCTTCCATTAACAGAGGCGGCCGCCATGGTGCGTCCTGTGAAGTAGCTCCTTCCATCCCCCCAACAACCCTCTGCAGGAGGTGCTGCGATTGACTTCATTCTGTAAATGAGGAGACTGACGCACAGAGAGGCTGGTATCTGCCCATTTACGCAGCCAGCACGCAGAGGCCAGGGACACGAACCCAGGCATTCCAGCCTCGCCCAAGAACACGTCCCTCCACCAAGAGACGTGACCAGAAAAATAACATGAGGGAACCATCTCCTCCTCACCTGGGCTCCAGGGCCAGGGGATGGACTTGTGAGGGAGCCATGTTCACCCACGTAGGGCACAGGGCAGGGCACAGGCTCAGGGCCAGAGCCCGAGGCCTGGGCCTCAGCTCCAGGGCATAGCAGCTGTGGGTGCCTCAGCGGCCCGACCTCCCCAGCCCGTCTGCCTCCCGCATCAACTGGGGACCACACGGTGGCTGAGAGGACAGACTCTGGAACCGATGGCCTGGGCACGAATCCTGGCTCCACCCCTTCCTGCAAGCAACACCAGGCAGGTCATGTGACCTTCCTGTGCCTCAGTGGGCTGACGCAGACAGGGGGCACCAGCAGTGGGAAATGACTTGAGGATATGGCATAGCAGTTTACTCCAAGTGGGACTAAAAGCCACTCAGAGCTCTGAGCAGAGAAAGATTTACATCAAAAGGATCATACTAATCTGATGCCACTACTAACCATTCCTGCTTGCCTAGACCAAGGGTCTATAAACTTTTTCTGTATAAGGGCCACACAGTAAATTTTTTAGGTTTTAGGGCCACAGTCTCTGTCACAACTACTCACCTATAGCCACAGACAACACATAAATAAATGAACATGGCCATGTTCCAATAAATATAAAAACAGAAGGTAGGGCTATAGTTTGCCAACCCTGCTCCAGACCTCACTTCCATTTTAAAGGAAATACAGGCACAGGAGAACAAAGGAAACAATGCCAAAAGGCAATAATATGACAGGCCAGAATGCGGGACGTTCTGTAAGACAACTAGCCTGGCTTATACAAAAAAAAAATCAACGTCTGGGATGGAGTGGAAACAAAGGGCTAAACTAGATTAAAACAGGCCAAAGAGACAACATGTACCTTGAATTAATACTGGTTTGAAAACATTTTGAAGATACCCAGAGAAATTCAAGTATGGCCTTGATGTGGAGAAGATATTAGTAAGTACATAATCATCTCCAGTGTGGTAAGGATATCACGACTCTGCAGGAGCGAGTCCTCGTTCATAGGAGGTGCCTGCTGCATTAAGGGGTAAAGTGCCATGAAGTATGAACAGATGGTCAAGAGTCAGCATAAAATATAGCCAGATGAAGCAAACGTGCCAAATGCTGGACTGCTGAATTTTGGTACAGGGTGCCTGGATGTTCATTCATTATACTTCTTTAAACTTTTCTACATTTGAATCAACACGCTGGCAGTGGACTAGATGGCGAAGGGAGGGTCCCTGGCTGCCCTAGAGAAGGCAGGAGAGGCAACCAGGAGCCTAGTGAGGGGGGCTTGTGGCACCTAGACAATGACCAGTCACCAGCATGGCGCCCGTCTGCCCTGCGACCCTTTTGTCCCTCCGAGGCTCAGGAGTGACCAACCAATGCGAGGCCTACGTAGGCTGGGGCAGTGAGGATAGCATGGATCAGCCACGAGCAGAGCAGAGGATACCTCCCGCTTGCTGTGTTTCTGGCTCATGACCCCCTCCAGGGTTAAGGTCAGGAATGTGGGATCTGGTCTCTCAGAGTAGTCCCAGCAGTCTTCTCTCCTGCTGCAGAAGCAGATGCTCAGAAAAGGAAGAAGGTAGGGGCTCTCCAGTCCCCACAGTCTCAGTAACAGGATTCTTCCCTCCACTCAAGGGCACCTTATCTTGCAAAAATAGAAACTAGATCATCTCTCCTGCCCACTCAAACACCTTCCTGGCTCCGCAATGCACCTTTTCTGGGCTTGCCAACCATGCGCCAGGTACTGCTGAGTCAAGGGCTTCCTGCTATCATCCTCCTGAATCTTGTAACAACCCTGCCACAAACCCCGACTTATCAAGCACCTGCCAGGCCCCATGAGAATCTCCATCTGGAGTCCAAGGCCCTGGCTGAGGTCTCCATCTTCAAGTGCCTCTACTTCCCCGCTTTCCGACACTCCTTACCCCTTGATTTTCTGATGACCCGGAACCCTCTGTGGCCCTGGAATGCACAAGCTGTTTCACCTCCAGGCCTTTGCAAATGCTGGTCCCTTTTCCTCACCGTTTCTCCTTCCTATCTCCATGGCCAACTCCTATCCATTCTTCAAAACCCAGCACGCCAACATGCAGGACCTATGCAACGACTGGTCTTGAGTGTTTTTTCTGGCAGTCTATGTTTTGGTCCATAGTTTTCAACTGAGTAACACCTCAGCAGGCTTGACATGGTAATTCTGTTCCTTCTGGTGGGGCAAGTACATTTTTAACCATGGGAAGATATGCAATAAGAATTATAGTACAGGTGGAAGGATGCTTCCGAGGCGGAAGGATCACTTGAGCTCAGGAGTTTGAGACCAGCCTCAGCAACAGTGAGATCTCATCTCTACAAACACAGAAAAATTCGCCAGGCATTGTGGTGCGCATTGTAGTCCCAGCTACTTGGGAGGCTGAGACAAAAGGATCGCTTGAGCCCAGGAGTTTGAGGCTGCGGTGAGCTATGATGACACCACTGCACTCTAGGCTGGGTCAAGTGAGCGAGACTCTCTCCACAAAAGGGGACCGGGGGAACTAAGCTCCTAATATATAAAGAGCTTTCAAATACAAATTAGAAAAAGACCAACTACTCAATAGAAAAAATAGACAAATGATATGAACAGAGTGTTTGGAAAAGGAAACTCGCATGGCTCTTGAGGATCAAACACATCCATAGAGAAAGGAAAAACAGTTAACACTACCGTGAGGTGTGATTTCCCACCACTGCTCAGACTGGTAAAAACTCAAATGTTTGAAAACACAAGGCCACACAACCCGAGTCACCATGAATTAAAAACTGCTAAATAAACAAACTTAAAACTTTGGGACACACACACATGTCCAGCTTTTTAAAAAAGTAAATAAAAGCAAAACAAAGCAGCAGCAGCAGCTCTCCATATACTAAGGCAGAAAGATTCCCCCAGATACACTCAAGCAAAAAAACCAAGTCCAGAATAGTGTGTACAATGCTATCTTTTGTGTAAAAGGAAGAAAAAAAAAAAAAGGCTAGAGGACATAAAGACCTCTGCTCTTCAAGGACACATAAGCTCTCTCTCTGCTCTTCAAGGACACATAAGAACACTGGGGTGCGGGGAGCCGGATGGATAAGGCAGAAGCAGGAGTGAACCTCTAACTAGACACTTCCTTATGCTGACTTTTTTTAATGGATGCGTCTAGCTCATCTCTTCTGATGATGAAATTGATCTTTTCAAGTTGAATCTCTGCACCACCTTCTTCAAAATCACTAGAGGTGCTTGTTAAGAACATGGCTAGCTACCTGACCCTCTGCAGATGTCCGGGCAACACAAGGCCCTGGAGCCAGGCCCAGCAGTCTGTTATCGTCACACAAGCTCTGCCCCATGATCCCCGTGGACCCTCAAGTCCAAGGACACAGAGTAGGGTCTTCAGATGAAGAACCACAGCTCTTCTCAGCTCCAGCTGAAGGGAGACCGGCTACAGAACAGCTACAGACTAGAAACTCCTATGGAGGTCCCATAGGGGAGGACATCTGTCCATCTCCACCCCTTCTGCTCACACCAGCAGCCCTGGTCACTCTCCAAGGGCAGCCACACAGAGGCCCAGACTCACCTCTCGTCCGGAGAGTCTACATGGAAGGTCCTCTCTATGACTGTAGTCCACTGCAGGCAGCGTATGACAAAGGTGTTGGGCCGCGGCCTCTCGGTCTTCATGAGCTGGCATTCTGCAGATAGAGGGCGGGGAGAGCATGGGGGTGAGGGGCAGCCCTGCCTGGTGCAGCCCACATTCCCCAAGCCCCCTCCTCCATGCCCAGCCCCATGCCGGATGGTGTTGGGGCACTCTAGGACTGAGACAATCCTGGCCCTGCCCTCACGTGGCTTAAGGTCCAGTGTGTGTGGGGAAGGGCTGGACCACCAGACAGTGATGACTCAGTAGTCGGGGCTGCAGAGGGGGAGGCCAGAGGCGTGCAGAAACTCAGAGGCCAGCACCTGACCCAGCGCAGGGATCGGGGAGGGCTTCCCAGAGGAAGCAGCAACCCTGAACCAAGCCCTGAAGGAAAATGGAGCTCAGAGAATACATCACGTACAGAAGCCCAGAGGTGAGAGGGCCCAGGGGATGGGCAATTATGCTCCAAGCACAAGGAGGGAAGCGGCAAGAGACAAGCCTGGAGAGGTGAGCTGGTGCCAGCTATGGGCAGAGGAGGAATCTGGACTTTGTCCTCAGGACAGCAGGGAGCCATGGAAGGCTTTTAAATAAGGAAGGAACATGGACAGATTGAGACCATCCCTCTGGCTGCCATGTAGAGGGTAAGACTAGAAGCTGGAGGCCCAGGGAGGCAGGGACCCAGCTGGAGAGGATGGGGCTACACCAGAGTGAAGCCACAGAGAGGGGAGGAAAGGGCAGGCAGACAAGCCACGGTGGGGAGGAGGGCATCTAGGACAAGGCCCAGGGCTCTGGTCCAAGGACTAGGGGGTTGACAGGGCCACCCCTATGACGGAGACAGGGAATAGAAAGTTGGGAGAAGGGAGGAGAAACCTGAAGGTCAGTCTGGGACTAAGCAGGTATGAGGGACCTAGAGGATACCCAGGGAAAAAGGTCCAAGGAGCTGCGGGGGACAGGCTGGGAACTCAGGTGAGAAGGTGGGGCTGGTAACAGGTGTGCTGGGGTCACCAGCACACAGGAGAGCAACTGGGAAAAGGCTTTACACAGAGCAGAGTGGGGCTGGGGCTGGATTCGAGAGAAGCAAGGGAGAGGACGTGGTCTGGGCTAAGGCGCTGGAGACAGGGATGCCTCTGCAATGTTCTTGGCAGGAGGAACAAGGACATGGTGAGTGATCAGGTCTGCAGGAAGGAAGGTGGCAGAGGGGCAGGGGATGGGGGCAGGACTGTGCTCTGCAAGTCCCCCATAAGAGCTTTGGGCTTGTGAAATTTTCATTGATTAGGGTCCAGCTGGAAGGCATCACTTCGGGTATCATAGAGGGAACAGAGGACATGAGACTAGCCGCGCCACCGCCTGAAGCCATGACACCTCTAGGTTAGAGGACAGAGGGAGGAGGCTCTTGACACAAGCTGGAACCACAGAGCTGCCCAGCAGGGGAGTGGGGAAATGCCCTGCCTCTCCCTCCCTCCCGCCTCTATCTCCACCAGGACAGCCCTGCCTGGCCCAGCTAACAGGGAGGGCGAACACGGGAAGGGCAGAAAACACATCTGAGGGTAAACAGTGCCGCAGCAGGCCCAAAGCGCAACAATAACCGAGTCCCACGTGCCCGAGACCTGCCAGCCATTGTAGGAGCACCGGAACCCCAGTGTGCACGCCCTAAGACATACCTGCTACGGAAAAGTTGTTTAAGGGGGGTAAGGTCTGGTCAGGGGCCTCGGGCCTCTCCTTATACCCAATGAAGGAGCCGTCACTCTTCAGCAGGAAGTACCGGGGCCTCCAGGTCTTGATGTATTCACCTAAAAGCAGGCGGGGACGGAGAGAGGTCAGGGCAAGGTTGAGTGGTATCCCAGGCAGGCGGCAGGCGGCAGGCAGGCAGCCGAGCGCAACAGTGACTCACAGGGGGCACCACAGTGGGAGGAGGGTGGACGAGAATGCCAGTCCCAGAGGAGCGCTTGAGGTGGCCCTTGCTGACGCAGGCTAGGGTCCTGGGCTGAGCCCCAGTGATCCACAGGTCATTGCTGGCAGGAAGGCGCCTGCGGCAGTGCCTGGGGCACCAGCTGCCTCAGCGTGTGGCCAGCAGCGAGCCATCCCTGCCAACTCGTGGCCTAGTCCCAGGGGAGGCCCAGGCTTCCAAACACACATGTCCTGTGGCCCTGTAAGGCCAAATCCCACAGGCTGGTATTCACCAATACAACTGTGCAGGTGGATCGAATGTCAAAACAGTTCTGTGCCAGGCAAGGTGGAGCTGCTATCACACCCTCGGAGCACCCCTTGACCCCTTCCGATTGTTCTGACCACGAACAGCCAAGCACTCTACACATAAACACACACACAGAACCCACTCTTCAGAGACCTGCTAACAATTAAACAGAGATGGTGAAACATACTCACACAAAAATCTATACACAGATGTCCATAGCAGTATTATTCACAATAGCCAAAAAGTAGAAACAACCCCAATGTCCATCAACTAATGAATGGATAAAGAAAACATGGCATATCCATACAATGGAATACTAATCAGTCACAAAAAGAAATGGAGTACTGATACAAACTACAATGTGGATGAACCAAAACTTACACTAAGTGAAAGAAGCCAATCATAAAGGACCTCGAAATATATATGACTCAATTTATATAAAATTTCCAGGAGTAGTTGCCTAGGGCTGGGGAGGGGTCGGTCTGAATGAGGGAACCAGAGGGTGATGGCCAAGAGGGACAGGCTCTGCCACCCAGGCTAGAGTGCTATGGCGGCCTAGCTCACAGCAACATCAAACTCCTGGGCTCAAGTGATCCTCCTGCCTCAGCCTCCTGAGTAGCTGGGACTACAGGGCCCAGCTAATTTTTTCTATTTTTAGTAGAGACGGGATCTCACTTTTGCTCAGACTGGTCTTGAACCCCTGAGCTCAAGCAATCCTCCTGCCTCGGCCTCCCAGAGTGCTAGGATTACAGGTGTGAGCGACTACACCCAGAGCAGGGTTTCTTTTTTAGGGTAGTAAAAATGTCCTAAAATTGGTTGTGGTGATGGTTGCATTAACTCTGAATACACTAAAAGCCATTGAATTGTACACTTGAAATGGCTGAATCGTATGGTATATAACATACCTCAATAAGGCTGTTAAGAAAAGAGATGGCAATCATAAGCTTAGGGGCTAGCACACCACAGGCACTTAATAAATGGTCTTTATCATTAACCCAGTGTGCAAACAAAGAGTGCACCAGGCCCTTGCCTCAAAATGGCAGGGAGGTGGGCTCTGAGCTGCTTTTCTTGTGTGAGAAACACATCCTCCAATAAATCACTTCACTTCTCTGAGTATTTCCTCTCAGAGGGATATTTGTAAATTCATGATGACAAAGAAGATGATGACACTACAGTGCACTTTGTGCCTGGCACTATCTTAAGTATCTTATAGGTTTTGACTTATTAAATGTTTTCAAAGGTAGTACTAAATGATTCCATTTATATAAGGTTCAAAAACTAGCAAAACCCCAAATTCATGGCATACTGAAAGGATTACACACCACGACCAAGTAAAATTTATGCCAGGGGTGCAAGGGTGGTTCAATATATAAAAACCAATCAATGTACATTAATAGAACCAAAAAACAAAACAAACAAAAAAAAACCCACAACATGATCATCTCAGTGATGCAGAAAAAGCATTTAACAAAATCCAACTCTCTTTCATGATAAAAATGCACAATAAACTAAAAGTAGACGTTTTCTTTCTCAAAATGATAAAGGGCATTGATGAAAAGTCCTCACTAACATCATACTCAATAGTAAAAGACCAAAAGCATTCCCCCTAAAAATCAAAGATGCGTGTTTTCACCACTGCGATTTAACACTGGAATAGGCATCCAAGTTAAAAAGGGGTAAAACTACTTATTTTCAGATAACATGATCCTGTATTCAGAAGATCACAAAGAACTTAGAAAAAACCCTTTAGAAATTTAGAAAATCACAAAAATTTAGTAATTACTAAATCCACAAAATAATTACTAGAGATAATAAATTTAGCAAGATCAACTCATAAAAATCGGTTGTCCTTCTATACACCAGCAATGAACAATTCAAAAGGGAAATTAAGAAAACAATTCCATTTATAATAGCCTCCAAAAGAATAAAATACCTAGGAATAAATTTAACCAAGGAGGTGAAATGCTTGTATATTACAAAACATTACTGAAAGAAATTAAAGACCTAAATAAATGCAAAGACACCCTACATTCAAAAACTGGAAAACTGTTAAGATGGCAATACCACCCAAAGTAGTCTACAGATTTAATGCAATCCCTATCAAAACTTCAGCAGTCTTTTATTGAGAACTAAAAAAGCTAATCCTCAGATTCACATGGAACTGCAAAGGGCCCCAGATAGCCAAAACAAGATTGAAAAAGAAGAATAAAATTAAAAGACTCACACTTTCTGATACCAAAACGTACTACAAAGCTACAGTAATCAAAACAGTATGGTATAAAAGGATAGACATAGAGACCAATGGGATAGAATTCAAAGTCAAAGAATAAACCCAAACATCTACGGCCAGTTGATTTTCAACAATCAAAGCGCCAAAGATCATTCAATGGGGGAAAGAATAATATCTTCAACAAATGGCGCTGAGACAGCTGGATAATCACATGCAAAAGAATGGAGTTTGGCCAGGTGTAGTAGTTCACCCCTATAATCTCAGTGCTTTGGGAGGCTGTGGAAGGAGGATAACTTGAGGCCAGGAGTTCGAGACTGGCCAGAGCAACATAGCAAGACCCTATCTCTACAAAAAATTAAAAGTTAGCCAGGCACGAGTGTGTGTACCTGTAGTCCCACCTACTCAGGAGGCTGAGGCAGGAGGATCACTTGAGCCAGGAGTTTGAGACCAGCCTGAGCAACAGCAAGACCTTGTCTCTACTAAAAATAGAAAAAATTAGCCAAGCACGGTGGTGGAAGCTCCAGCTACTCGGGAGGCTGAGGAAGGAGGATCGCTTGAGCCCAGAAGTTCAAATTATACTGAGTTATGATCAGGCCACTGTACTCCAGACTGGGCAACAGAGCAAGACCCTGTCTCAAAAAAAGAATGGAATTGGACCCCCTACTTCACAGTATATACCACTATCTATAGCTATTAACTCAAAATAGATTGACTTAAACATAAGAGCTAAAACTATAAAAAAAGCTTAGAAGAATACATAGGAGTAAATCTTCATTCTCCTGGATTGGGCAATAGATTCTTAGATGACACCAAAGTGCAAGCAACAAAAGAAAAAAAGTGGATTCAAAATTAAGAACCTTTGTCCATAAAAGGATGTTATCAAGAAAATTTAAAAAAAAGAGCATACAGAATAGGTGAAAATACAAATCATGTATCTGACAGGAGTCCTGTATCCAGAATATATAAAGAACTCTTACAACTCAACAAAATGACAAACAGCCTGATTTCTCCAAAGAGATACAAATAGTCAACGAGCACATGAAAAGACAATCATTTGTCATTAGGCAAGTACATATCATAAACCACAATGAGGTATGACTTCACACACAGAGAATGGCTGTAATGAAATGAAAAATAACACATTGGCACGGATATGAAGAAATTAAAACCTTCATATATTCCTGGTGGGAATGTAAAATGGTACAGCTGCTTCCTCAAAAAGTTAAATATATTGTAGCTTATAAATATAGGTTATAAATATGGACTATATCTGCAGTCCCCAACCCCCGGGCCACAGACTGGAACCGGTCTGTGGCCTGTTTTGAACGGCACAGGAGGAGGTGAGCGGTGTGCGAGCCAGCAAGGCTTCGTGTGCATTTACAGCCGCTCCCCCTGGCTCACGTCACTGCATAAGCTCTGCCTCCCGCCAAATCAGTGGCAGGGCTAGATTCTTTTAGGAGTGCGACCCCTACTGTAAACTGCGCGTGTGAGGAACCTAGGTCGTGCACTCCTTATGAGAATCTAATACCTGGTGATCTGAGGTGGAGCTGAGGCGGTGATGCCAGCGCTGGGGAGCGGCTGCAAATACAGATGATCATTAGCAGAGAGGTTTGACTGCACAATAAACGTAATGCACTTGAATCACCTCGAAACCTTCCCTCCCCCCACCCCCGGGGTCTGTGGAAAATTGTCTTCCATGGAACCAGACCCTGGTGCCAAAAAGGTTGGGGACTGCTGGACTATAATGACTCAGCAATTCCATTCCCAGGCATATACCCAAAAGTAGTGAAAGCAAGTACTCAAACATGTGCATTTTGTTTGTAACAGTTATTCACAATAGTCAAAAGGTAGAAATAACCCCAATGTCCACCAACAGATGAACAGATAAACAAAATGTGATGAATCTACACACAAATTATTTATCCATAAAAAGGAATGAAGTACTGACACATGCTACAACATAAATGAACCTCAAAAACATATGCTAAGCCAGCCGCGATGGCTCACGCCTGTAATCCTAGCACTCTGGGAAGCCAAGGCGGGTGGACTGCTCGAGGTCAGGAGTTGGAAACCAGCCTGAGCAAGAGCGAGACTCCATCTCTACTATAAATAGAAAGAAATTAATTGGCCAATGAATATATACAGAAAATATTAGCCGGGCATGGTGGTGCATGCCTGTAGTCCCAGCTACTCGGGAGGCTGAGGCAGTAGGATTGCTTGAGCCCAGGAGTTTGAGGTTGCTGTGAGCTAGGCTGACGCCACGGCACTCACTCTAGCCTGGGCAACAAAGCAAGCAAGACTCTGTCTCAAAAACAAAAACAAAAACGTATTCTAAAAGTAAAAAGCCAATCATAAAGGCCATATGTTATATGATTCCATTTACACGACATGTCCAGAGCAGGTAAATCCATATAGAAAGTAAACTGGTGTTGTCAGATGCTAGGAGGAAGGGGTACTATGGCTTGAATATGTCCCCCAAAGTTCGTATGTTAAAAACTTGATCCCCAATGCAGAGTGTTGGGAAGTGGGGCCTAACGGGAGATGTTTGGGTTATGGAGGTGCCACTCTCATGAATGGATTAAAGCTATCATTGTGGCAAAGAGTTCCTCATAAAAGGACAAGCTCAGTCACCCCTTAAGGCCTCTTCCCTTTCACCCAAGTTATCCCTTGCCCTTCCACCATGAGATGAAGCAGCGAGGAGCCCCTCGCCAGATGCTGGCCCCTGGATCTTGCACTTCCCTGCCTCCAGAACTGTGAGAAATTTCTGTTCATTATAAATTACCCAATCTCAGTTATTCTACTATACCAGCAGGTACCAAAATAGTGGCAGTCAGCAGGGCCCACCTTGCCTTGCCCACCTCTGCCAGCCACTACTGAAAATGACACGCAGTGGGAAAGCCCAGGAGTGCACGTGTGTGTGTGTGTGTGTGTGTGTGTGTGTGTGTGTGTGTGTGTGTGTGTGGTGCAAACCTGGGGCAGGTGTGTCCTGCCAGGCCACCCCTGCAGACAGGAGCAGGCCTGTGGCCAGCTCATCTGACCCCTTGAGTCTGAATGGAGACACTGAAACCCTAAGCGGGGCCAAGACCGATTCAATGCCATTAGCTGAGCAGAGAGCAGAGAAAAACTCCCACACCTCCAACAGTTCTACACCCAACCCAGGGATCCTCGAACCCCAGCCTAGTGAGCTACAGCCTCGGCAAACTCGGGTTGAGGGACAGGAGGCCACGACCCTGACATACCCTAGTACGTGCACACACGCACACACTACCCAATCATTCACTCAACAATCGTTTGCTGAGTGACCACTGTACGCCAACAAGTTTTCGACATGCTGGTGATACCACAGAGAAGAAGCCACATGAAAATGCCTCGTGGAGCTGGCAACACCAGAGGTCTGGGTAGTTAACCCACTTTTGCAGCAGTGAAGCCAAGGCTCAAGTGAGGTGACACAGCTTGCTTACAGTCACGCCAAGAGAAGCAGCAGAGACAGAGTTAGAAGTCTAACATCTGCCAAGGTTCAGAAAGCTCGCTCAGCAGCCCCCAACTCAGAGCTCAGTCTGGGGGCTAATCTGAGGTGCCCTGAATGCCACCCCTGCCTGAAAAGGACAGTAGGAAACGTGTCCCTCTGCTCAGTTTGATGGAAAGGCCTGGTCCTGGGGAGTGGTCCCCGTCCCTCATCACCGCGCTGTGTCTGTGGGTGGGGACAGGGCAGGATGAATGGCACGTGCCCTGACCCCTGCAGGGCAGCCGCATCAGCCTCCTACTCCTCTTCTAGCAGGCCCGCTTTCCCCTCAGACAACTGTCACTCACTGTCCCAGCCAACCGTGGGGCTCACTCCTTTGCTTCCTTCAGGTCTCTATTCAGACACCCCCTTCTCAGTGAAGCCCTCCCTGGCCACCCCATTTATGATGGCTCCCTCCCTGCCTCGCGCCCATCCTTTCCCTACGTCCTGTGGCAGCTGTCTGGGACAGGTCACAGCCTGGCTCACAATATCCTGGGGCTTGCTGTGGCCTGGAGAGTTAAAACCAAGGCCATTTCCGTGGCCTAAAGCCCAACACCAGTGGGTCCCACATCACCACCTGACAGTATATGTCCACTTATTTATTGTTTGTCCCCACTCCTCACCAGAATGTAAACTCCAGGAGGGCACCACTGTGTCCCAGAGCCTGGGACACCCTGGCACACCACACACAGTGAAAGTTTGCTGAATGAATGAATGTTGAATATTGCCTCACTGTCTTACTTCAGATAAGTGGCTTCCCCTCTCTGAGCCTCGGTGTCTGCATTTATAAAATGGGCTACGAATGAGATCACTAATGTAGGGCAGAGCACAGGCCTGGCCTGTGGGCTAATTCACGATGACGAGCAGGGACTGGAGGCTCAGCCCCAGCTCCCTGCCCAGGCTACTGCTGGAGGGTTCCATGAAATGGGCGTGTGAGTAGTTCCCAGTCTGGGGGCTGCGGAATGCTGGCTCCGCAGGCTGGCAAAACCCTGCACCTCTGTCGCTCAGGGCACCAGCTGGCGGGGACAGAGCCAGGGTGGGAGGATGAAACACACAATCTGGTGGGCAAAAGTGGCCCCTTACCACGCTTGTGAAGCCAGCCTTCTTTGATGACAGACACTTCATTCATGGTGGCAGCGTGACACGCTGTCACCTAACTCGAGACAGCTCAGGGCAGCAGGACATGCAGGAGGCACCGTGGACAGAGCACAGTCTGCAAGACAAGAGAGGACCTGGTCAGAGTGGGAGGGGATGCCACACCAGCCCTTCCATGAGGACACCCAGGCTTTGAGGCCCTCCAGCAGCTTCACCTGCTCTGCCCAGGGTAGGGGAGAGCCCTGCCCCAGGGGCCCAGTCTGCAGGGAGAGATGTGGCCACGTCCCCAGGGACCCCAATCTGGGGGGGCAGAACTCCCTGGCCTATGTGCAGGGCAGACTTGCGCTTGGGGCACCCATGCTGGGCAGAGGCAGCCCCTTCACCCACCTTCACTCCAGACTAGACAGGCACCAAGGTGGCTGCAAGCCCTGCCCCCTGCGTCACTCTCAGGTAACCCAGGATGAACCAGACAGTCCTGGGCACCTGAGTGAGCGCTCAAAGCCACCAGCATCTGCCTATCCCCCCCCCAACACAAATACGCACACTGTCTCCTTTCCAAACCAGGGAGCCACCAACCTGCTACCTTCAGTACACCAAGCATACCCCGCCCCGTGATGCCATCCCATGTTACTCCCCCAGCCTCAGCTTCCTCCTTGCCCCTACCCCACCAAGTGACTGCGGAAAGACAAGTCTCATACTCCAGGATCTTGAACTAGAAAGAGACCTACTGTGCATGCACTCGTCTGAAGCCTAGAGCCAGTCCTGGGGGCTCTCCTAAGGGCCTGGTCCCGTCCCCAGGACCTCTGGGGACCTCCGCTTCTGTCCTTAGGGACCAACAGCTGATAGACTGACAGACGCCGAGGCCGCTGCTTCCGTCTCAGGTTCCCAGAGCGGAGGGGAGGAGGGACGAGGCAGCCGCCAGCTGGGCCCTTACCTGGAGCCTGGGGCCTGGCCAGGGGCCACGGAGCCTAAGGCGCCTTTTGCCTTTCCAGCCCGGGGTTATTTGCGGACAGCAGGTCAGGAGCTACGGTGGCCCCAGAGAAGTGGCAGCTGGCTCTGGGGACACCACGGGCATCAGCTTTCTCTCGTGCCCCAGGGGAGCTGCTGGGCCGGACACACTACTGCCTGGCATGTGACAGTGGCAGACTGCCCGGGCCCCAGGCAGAAGGAAGGGAGGTAAGTGGGAGGAAGCGGGAGGAAAGACAAGATGGACAGGGATGGGGAAGTAAACAGGAGGCGGGGAAATCACAACCTGGTCTACGCACCACAAAGACACTGATGCGGGGCCGCGGGCAGCAACACGGGCTCCCACCAGCAGGCGTGACCGGCACCCCACGCCCTGAACACACTGACTGCCAGGCCCTCGACCTTCAATACCCCACCATCTGTGTCTCCCCCTCCTGCTGCACCCCTTCCCTGGGCTCCTACCCTCCACTCTCCCACCCCACCAGCCCCTTTCACCAGCTAGACCCTCGGATCTGGCCCTGTCCTTCCCCTCCTCAAAACGCCGTCATGAGGCCGGGCACTGTGGCTCACGCCTGTAATCCTAGCTCTTGGGAGGCCGAGGCGGGCGGATTGCTCAAGGTCAGGAGTTCAAAACCAGCCTGAGCAAGAGCGAGACCCCGTCTCTACTATAAATAGAAAAGAAATTAATTGGCCAACTGATATATATATAAAAAAAAAAAAAAATTAGCCGGGCATGGTGGCGCATGCCTGTAGTCCCAGCTACTCGGGAGGCTGAGGCAGAAGGATCACTCAAGCCCAGGAGTTTGAGGTTGCTGTGAGCTAGGCTGACGCCACGGCACTCACTCTAGCCTGGACAACAAAGCGAGACTCTGTCTCAAAAAAAAAAAAAAAAAAAAAAAAAAACGCCGTCATGGCTCCCCACTATCACAGCAGAAAAGCCAAACTCCTCGCTTGGCATCGAAGGCCTGTCAGGACACGACCCCTTACCCCCTCTCTTCTGCCTTCTGCTCACCCACCCCGCACAGCCCCGCGGTCCCCACAGCCGGCTCCTGTGCCTCTCCCACCTCTTCCAGTCCCGCCTCCTCCCTGGACTCCCAGCCTCTGCTCTCAATCCCCACACTCCATCCAAGCCTGACCCTGTCCCTCCCACTCAAAACCCTTCCATGGCTCCCCAGTGCACTCAGAACACAGAACAAAGTCCTTTCCGCCACCGAGGAGGCCCTGCACGAGCCAAGAGGCGCACCTAGAGGGCCCTCAGTAAAGGCTAATGACCATGACATTGACTGCTGCACCTCTCCAGCCTCCTCCCCCGCCACCCGGCTCTGTGTCATGCTTGTCGCCCAGGCCCTTCCCGCTGGCCTCCAGCCCTATACCTGCTGTGCATTCTTCTCCCTCTTCGTCCAGGAAGCCTTCCAGACCTCAGAGGCTACGCTGGGTGCCCTCTGCGCACCGCCAGGGCAACCCTCCCCATGCGACCCACGCTGATCAGCGGACCAGCACGGCGTCGGCCATCTACTAAGCACGCAACGAATGAAACCAGCGTTCCCAACAGACCCCCACCCCGGGACCAGACGCAGCCACACAAACACTTCCAGACTCTATTCTTGCCACCAATCAACTTTTTTGGGTACATGCTAAGATCTAGACAGTGCTAGTGACACAGCGTCAAAAGACACTGCCCCTGCCTTTGTAAAGCTCACAATCCAGCAGCTGAGGCAGAAGAGCACAGAGATATGCATATCAATGTCAGGTGGAAGAGAGGCAAGGAGAAGAAAAGCAAAGGGGGGGAGAACAGCAGGGATGGGGTGACATGTTAGCCATATGGTGGGGGGACATGTGAGCAGACACCTGAATTAACCAAGGGAGTAAGCCTTGTAGACACACGAGGAATAGCACTGCCGGCAGAGGAACAGAGGATGCAAGGACCCTGAGGCAGGAAGGAGTTTGGTGAACGGGAAGCCAGGAGATGGGTGGGCAGGGAGCACACTCAGGCCTTCCAGGGTGTGGCTGGGGTTAGAGAAGCCCTTGCTCCCCCAATACCACACTTTCTCCTAACTCGAGCTCAGTTCGGAATACTTCCCACAGGGCTGGGATGGAGAACTCCGAGTCCAAAGGAAGGGCGGATGTGGAAGGAAAGGAACAAGGGCCCAATCTCAGCCCCCCCCCCCCCCCCCTCCTCCTCCTCCGCCCCCCCCCCCCCCCCCCCCCCCGGCCATCACTGGCTAGTGGCTTCACCTGTCAGAGCCCCTGTGATTCAGCAGCAGCAGGTCAGACTCAGGCAGCACTAAAGCACTCACCGTGGCAGAGGGCCCGGCTTCCTGCCCGGCTCCCAGCAAACACCAAAGGCAGCCAGGTGTAGCCGAGAGTGGTCAGGGTTCCAGAGTCCGAGAGCCCTCACCAGCTGGGTGGCCTTGGGCAGGGTGCCAGCGCCCCCGTGGAGTTTCTCCAGAATGCTTCCCGCCACCCCACCGGCGGGTCCACGACCATGCCCAGGAGAGGACAGAAACTCAGAGAAGGGAAGTCATTTACCTGGGGTCTCCCAGGCAAGAAGTAGTGGAGGCCCTGGCCACTGCCAGGAACAACAGAGCCACTTTTTACATTCTCTTTCCAGCGACTAAGAAGTCCGAGGCGGCTTGGACGAGAGCAGGGGGAGGAACGGGAAGATCCCCTGTGTCCTGCTCGGATCCTGCCCCGTCCTCCCACTGAGGGTGGCGCCTCAGCTGAGGTGTCTGTGACGCAGCCCAGCGGTGATGAAATACCGGGCACTGCAGCCAAGAGGGTGGCCTGCTCACTGCGGAGCTGCCGACACAGGACACCCGGCAGGAGGACAGAGACCTGCCTCCCGAACCCAGGCAGCAGTTGCCTGCAGGCAGCACACCCACGGGGGAGTCCCTGCAGGGCCCCGTCCCCACTACGCACAGCTCCCTGAGGTGTCCGGGCCCGAACCTCCTGAAGGCCGGGGCCAGACCTGCAGCTGCTGACCAGAGCGAGCCACCCGGGAGGCGAGGTGAGAAGAGTGAGGGCCCCTCTCAGGAAAGGACACCCAAACAACCAAGGGACATGCTCAATCTCACTGGCTGTGGGAAAATGCGAATTAAAGCCAACGACCGGGGTGGCTCAAATTTAAAAAACTGACAACGCCAAGTGTCGACAAGGATATAGAGCAGGGGTCCTCAAACTTTTTAAATGGGGCCAGTTCACTGTCCCTGAGACCGTTGGAGAGTGCGGCGCACATTCCACACACGCGCACTGTAGGCCCGGGACGAGTCGGCTGCTAAGCAGGACAGGCAGCGGCGGGTGGCAAAAACACCCGACGGGCCAGATAAATGTCCTCGGCAGGCCGCATGTGGCTCGTGGGCCGTAGTTTGAGGACGCCTGATATAAAGGAATCAGAACTCGTATTCCCTACAGATGAGAGTGCAAAACGGCTCAACCACTGTGGAAAACTGGCAGTAAGAATGAAAGCTCAACAGATGCCTATACTATGGCCCAGCGACTCTCAGTCTACCAAGAGAAGCTCGTGTATTTGTTTACGAAAAGACATGTACTACAAAAGCAATTTATGCAACCAAAACGTTTGTACCCCCATAATACCTTGAAATAAAACAAAAAAGACATTTACTAGAATATTCACACAGGTAATATTCACAGCAAGCCCCAAAATGGGAATAGACCAGGCGTCCCCCACAAGAGAACGACAGGAACGAAGTGTAAGAGTGTGATCCTGAGTGAAAGAAGCCACACACGATACTCCATGCAAGGACGAGTCCATGCACAGCAAATTAGAAACAGGCAACACTATGATACTTGTTTGGGGTGCCTTTCTCGTTGTAAAGCTATGCAGAAAATCAAGGCAAACAAATATCCCAAAGGCAGGAGAGTGGTTACACTTAGGAGTAACAGAGGGGGGAGGACTCCTGGGAGCTGACAATGTTCTTCTGCGGTTACACAGGGCTTTGGCCTGACAGTTATTTGTTACACTGTACAACATAAAATGTGTTTAATGTATTTTTCTGTATTTTATGACAAAAAAAATCAGGCTTTGGAAGTCCAGATGACACAAGGGAGCCAAAATTGGACCTCCTGGCTCCCAAAGCAGGGCTCTCCCCTGCCTCCACAGGAAGGCCAGTCTGCCTCAATTTCCCCTCCAAG